TATATTTTGGATGGCAACCCTTTATCGGATCTGTCATTTATGAATACATTCTCCCACACTGTAGGATGCCTTTTTGTTATACTGATGGTGTCCTTTGCTGTACAGAAGCTTTTCAGATTGATATAATCCCACTTGTTCATTTTTGCTTTTGTTTCCCTTGTCTGATATCTATCTTTTTAAGTCTGTGGAGGCTTAATCTGCCATGTGCTGTGCGGTCTGTCCCGGGAGTGCCCAGGGCCCTGGAGGGCACATCGTGTGGTGGGGTGGGCTGCTCTGGGTGTGTCTGTGATCTGGTCGGTCTGTGGTGTTAAGTCCTCTGTTTTCTTACTTACTTCTGTCTGCTGGTTCCGTCCACGACTGAAGAGGACTTCCGTAGAGCTGCTTGTTTCTTCCTTTGGTTCTGTCAGCTTTGGCTTCACATACTCAGATGGTCTGTTGCTAGGCATATAAGTGGTTATAATTATTTTATCTTCTCACTGTACTAAACCTCTCGATGTGTGACCAGCAATCAATCTTTTTGTCACCTCCTTAGTATCGCCTCTTCCAGGATGCCACAGAGCTTCACTCACACGGTATCTGGACCTTTCAGACTCGCTTCTTTCACTTGAGAATATGTATTTAAGTTTCCTCTGTTATCTTTTAATGGCTTTCAAAGCTCATTTCTTTTTACTTGGCTTGACTTTTTAAAAATTGGGCTCAGGAGCAACAAATTCTCATGATCAATACACAAATGTATGGTTTCTAGGATGCAGATCACGCCCCTGGGGTGTGCGTGGAGCCCATGCAGGCCTCGCCTCTGAGCAGGAGGAGGCCAAAGCCCCCCGTGTCCCCCCAGTGCTGCGCGACAGGCAGGAGGAAGCCATGCTGTGGGCCTGGCATGGTCACCCAGGCTCCCTTGGGGTCTTTTGGCAGGTGTCCCTTGACAAGGAGCTCGTTGATTTTGGGAGCTGCGTGGTGGGTGAGACTGCCTCCCGGGCCATCACACTGACAAACGTCGGCAGCTTGGGCACCACATTCAGGTTTCTCCGGGTGTCGGAGTCCTGTGAGGTGGACGCCTCCCCGGTGAGTGTGCTGCCTCGGGCCCTCCTTGGCCACAGCTGCTCAGCAAGACTCTCAAGAGGCTGTGAGCTCCAAGAGGGTGTCAGTGCCTGCAGGGACCTCGGTGGACCCAGCCTGGGCTAGAGCCGAGCAAGGTGGAGGGACCACCCTGGGCCCAGGGTGCCACCATGGGGATGTGCAGCCCCCCCAGTCCAGATCACGGCCGGCTTCTCCACATGGGGCCCTCCCAGCAACAGGAGCCTAGTCAGTTGAGTGGGAAAGGTGAGTGGGAAACTGCCAGTAAAGGTATCATGTTCTCTTCACAGAACGGCCTCTTGACATACAAAGACAAAGGTTTTTATGATGAAATCGTCCCCAGCTTTTCCAAGGGGCACAAGGATGGCGATGAGTCCTCCCCTCTAGACGCCCCAAGCCCGAAGGAGTCTGGGAAATTGGGCAGCAAGGAGCTGGAAGTGGGTCCTGCAGGTGAGCCGGGCACTCCCAGCCTCCAGTCCCAGGGCCCCAGCTGTCTGACAGACGGGCAGAGCCCCCTGAGCACCCACGGCCTGCCTGGAAGCTGTGATGCACCCGGAAGCGTGTTGTCAGACAGTGGGACAGTGTGGAATTCTTCCAGGGATTTGATTTTAAGTGACTGTAAGTAAGAAAACATCTATACATTCGAGTAAATACTGGTGACGGAGGACTGATGTTTGCATTCATACCAAAAGTAACAGGACTCCAGGGCAGCCCCAGCCTAGGGCCCACCGGTCTGCCCCTGGGGGTTGCCCTCCTTGCCGCCCCTGGGGGTTCCTCTTGGGACATTTGGGGAGCCCTGCCACAGGGGTGCAGCAGCTCCTGGCTGAGGGGCAGGGGAGGAGGGCTGGGAGGCCGTGCTGAGGACAGGGCCCTGGGGGCCCTGGGCTGTCTGGGCTCGCCTGAGCCCTGTCGCTGCAGCAGCACTGCGACAAGGGGCAGTGTGAACAAGAGACGCAGAGTGGACGCCCCTGCCAGTCACTGCGCTTCAGGGGGAAGAGGGCTCCCTACAGGCCTGTGATGCCACCTGCCATGTCCTTGCTGCTCCTCGCCACCCTTATAGTTTTTCCACCCTCAGACACATGCCCAGAAAAGGCTGGTTCTTCCAGTTCAGCTTTTGTACGAGTGGAGCCTCCGTGGGCACATTCCTTCCTAGGTGTGCACCTGTCTCCACCTGGGCAGGTGGCTCTTTCCATGAATACACCTCAGGCCCAGACCCCACCCCGTGGCCCACAGGTGGGCTGCCCACTTGGGGCTCCGCCTCTGCACCCCGCTGCCTCACAGCACAGAACAGCCTGCTCGTTAGCCAGCACCCAGCTCTTTTCCAGCATGGCTGTGCCCACTCACGCTCCCATCAGCAGCATCTACAGCCTTCCCCGCCACCTCGGCCACCACGAGCCACAACTGGCTATTTAAACCTAAAGTAGTCGAAATTAGGTCAGTGAAAATCCAGTTCCTCCTTCATAGCAGCCGTATTGCCCACAGGAAGGCGGCCCTGCCACCGCAGAAAGCCCCTTCGCACGGCTGCTGGTTATGTCCGTCTCAGACGTCGGCAAAGGGCACGTCGCTGAGACCTCCGTCTCTTTTTCCCAGATCACCAGGGGCATTGTCTTTTCACATCCCTGTCCTCTATTCATAGTTCCTTTTGTATGAACTGTCTGTTAAAGTTTCTCACCCACTTTTCTGTAAAGCTGTTTGTCCTTTTCTTATTTATTCACAAGAGTTCTTCCACACCCTGGATGCTTAGCCCTTTGCCTGTTAGGAATGCTGGAAATACTGCCTCCAAGTCTTTTTACTCCCTTTACACTCTCTTCTCTTAAATCAGAGTTCTTAATTTTAATACTTTCAAATCTACCCATCATTTCTTTTGAAGTTTATGTTCTTCATGCCTTCATAACAGATGATTTTCTCCTGTCCCCGGGTCATAATGACGTAAGACATGGCTTTTATACGCAGGCCTCTGACCTCTCTTGAACAACTTTTGTGCGTGATGTGAGGTGGGCGCCTCAGCCCTTCCTCCCCGACGTGGACATCCAGTCGTGCCTGACACACGTGGAAAAGACTTTCCTGTGCCCAGACTGATTCGCCATCTTTGGTACAAGTGAAGTGAATCTCTGGGCAGGTTTCTGGGCCCCCTGCTCTGGTCGGTTACTGTGCCGTAACTGTCTTCGTGCAGAACCACGCTATCCTGGCTATCGCTGCTTTAGAGCAGGGCTTAAAGCCAGGTTGTGCAGGTCACCCGACTGGATTCTTTTTTTCCCCAAGATACTTGCTTTGGGTATTATATGCTTCAGGGGGAAGAGGGCTCCCTACAGGCCTGTGATGCCACCTGCCATGTCCTTGCTGCTCCTCGCCACCCTTATAGTTTTTCCACCCTCAGACACATGCCCAGAAAAGGCTGGTTCTTCCAGTTCAGCTTTTGTACGAGTGGAGCCTCCGTGGGCACATTCCTTCCTAGGTGTGCACCTGTCTCCACCTGGGCAGGTGGCTCTTTCCATGAATACACCTCAGGCCCAGACCCCACCCCGTGGCCCACAGGTGGGCTGCCCACTTGGGGCTCCGCCTCTGCACCCCGCTGCCTCACAGCACAGAACAGCCTGCTCGTTAGCCAGCACCCAGCTCTTTTCCAGCATGGCTGTGCCCACTCACGCTCCCATCAGCAGCATCTACAGCCTTCCCCGCCACCTCGGCCACCACGAGCCACAACTGGCTATTTAAACCTAAAGTAGTCGAAATTAGGTCAGTGAAAATCCAGTTCCTCCTTCATAGCAGCCGTATTGCCCACAGGAAGGCGGCCCTGCCACCGCAGAAAGCCCCTTCGCACGGCTGCTGGTTATGTCCGTCTCAGACGTCGGCAAAGGGCACGTCGCTGAGACCTCCGTCTCTTTTTCCCAGATCACCAGGGGCATTGTCTTTTCACATCCCTGTCCTCTATTCATAGTTCCTTTTGTATGAACTGTCTGTTAAAGTTTCTCACCCACTTTTCTGTAAAGCTGTTTGTCCTTTTCTTATTTATTCACAAGAGTTCTTCCACACCCTGGATGCTTAGCCCTTTGCCTGTTAGGAATGCTGGAAATACTGCCTCCAAGTCTTTTTACTCCCTTTACACTCTCTTCTCTTAAATCAGAGTTCTTAATTTTAATACTTTCAAATCTACCCATCATTTCTTTTGAAGTTTATGTTCTTCATGCCTTCATAACAGATGATTTTCTCCTGTCCCCGGGTCATAATGACGTAAGACATGGCTTTTATACGCAGGCCTCTGACCTCTCTTGAACAACTTTTGTGCGTGATGTGAGGTGGGCGCCTCAGCCCTTCCTCCCCGACGTGGACATCCAGTCGTGCCTGACACACGTGGAAAAGACTTTCCTGTGCCCAGACTGATTCGCCATCTTTGGTACAAGTGAAGTGAATCTCTGGGCAGGTTTCTGGGCCCCCTGCTCTGGTCGGTTACTGTGCCGTAACTGTCTTCGTGCAGAACCACGCTATCCTGGCTATCGCTGCTTTAGAGCAGGGCTTAAAGCCAGGTTGTGCAGGTCACCCGACTGGATTCTTTTTTTCCCCAAGATACTTGCTTTGGGTATTATATATTAGACATTTAGGTTGCATTTCCATATAAATTTTAGAAATAGCTTCTTGATGTCTATAAAGAGCTGAGTGTAACTGGCAAGGGAATCCACTGATCAGTTGGGTGTCGATGGATTTGGGGGACTGACCTCTCACCAGCACTGAGCCTTTCAGTCCAAGAACATGGACTTTAACTGGTCACCGAGGACTTTAATTTTATCAGCAATGTTTTATAGTTCGCGGCACAGGGATCTTACGTTTCAGGTCTGTTTATGCCGTCTGATGATCTTTGAGCTCCTGTGGGGTATTTAATCCATTTACATTTATCGTGATTTTTTATATATTCTGACTAGCTTCTGTCATTGAATTTTGTGCTTTATATTGGTCCTGCTTTCTTTTCTTTTCTTTTTATTTTGTCGATCTTATTTTCTGGTCTTTTAGCCTCTCTGCTGCTTTTCCTCTCTGCTAATCATAAAGCCCCCTGGTCTTTGAAGTGGCCCTGAAACAGGAGCCACACACTCCCCCTCACCCCCGTCACCGGCTGTCCCTGCTGGAGGCGGGTCTGTGTCGCCGAGGGGCTCCCGAAGCCACGAGCACCCCATGTGAACCCAGGTGCACCTCCTGCCTTGGTATCTTCCCAACAGTCCAGGGAACCATCTTTCAGAAACAAAGGTTGTCTTTGGGGTCACAACCAAACAGCAAGGAGAGGAGAGACCCTGGTGTGCGGACAAGTGGCTTTGTCGATCCATCCGCTCCCACCTCCTGTTCCTCTGCCTGTTGAGTCACATGACCATATGCCTTGACCGTGGAATTCAGCCCCCTTCACCCCAGGGAGCACTCACAAAGGTGGGCCCACCATGGGTCAGCAAGGGCCATCTTCTGAGTGGAGTTTTGGGCACACGGGAATCCTCACATCAGCCCAGCTCCCAACATGGGCTCCTGAGACCTGCTGATCAGAACCTCCTATGGCTGCAGCATGGGGCATGCTAGGAATGAGTCCACCCAAGGGGCCCACCCAAGGCGGTTTGACAGGGGACCCTGCATGGGCAGAACCGTCAGAGAGCTGCCTCTGGTGGAGGGGTGTCCAGTCAATGAGCAAACAACAGCCATGGCAGGGACGCAGCAGTAGAGCCCCCAGCCCAGCTCTGGGGCAAAGGGGGGCTCCCCCTTGATGAATGCAACCCACAAGCCTGGTCCTCATGTGGGCTTGCAGCCTGACTCAGCCCACATCATGCTCCACACGAACTATCTCCGGCAGAAACTTCAGGAGAATGTGGTCCTGGGCTGGAAGAGTTCCAGGTACCCGGCCACACAAAGGCAAACCATCTCCGGGAAAGGGCGCTGCACTCAGAACTCAAGGAATTCCACAGACAAAGCCCCAGGAAGCACACACTCAGTCCAGTCGCCCAGCATCTTCATCAAGACACTGGCAGGACCCAGCAATTCCACTCCTGTGACTTCACCCAAAGAAAACAAAATCCTGATTTGAAAAGACATATTCCCCCCTATGTCTATCACCACATTTTTTGTAATAGCCAAGATATGGAAGCGACTTAAGTGTCTATCAGTAGATAAATGGGTAAAGGAGATGTGATGCATGTGCACAATGGAATATTACTCAGTCATAAAAATAAAAGAAATCCTGCCATTTGCAATAACATGGATGGATTATGCTCAGGAAATAAGCCAGGTAGGGGAAAAAGACAAATACCTTATGATTTTACTTATATGTGGAGTATAAAAAGAAAGCAAAACAGAAGGAACAAAACAGCAGTGGACTCACAGTCTCCAAGAAGGGACTAGCGGTCACCGAGGGGGAGGGGAGTAAAGGGGCCCAATAATTCACAACCACAGTGCAAGCTGATCATGGGGACTATCGAAACACTGTGACGTACATTTGAAACCAACGTAAGATAGGATATTAATGATACTTTAATAAAAAAAAAGAAGCAAATGAGACTGCTGCCAGTGGGTCTCCTTTAGGAAGCGTTCTTGTCCTTATGTTTCTACGTATCACTTGCTCCAGTAGTACATGTATATATTAAAGCCTTTGCTACTTAAAAAAAAAACAAAAAGTCACTGGCAGTATGTAGAAAGGGCTGGCGTGTCATAAGCAAGGGTCCGTCCTCGGAATTCAAGGCTGGCTCAGCATTCAAAACTCATGGAATGAGATTCTCTGTTTCTCCAACAGGCCGAGGAAGAAACACACGATTGTCTCGCTGAAGCAGAAAAAGCACTTGATGACATTCAATGACCATTCTCAAGCGAAACTCCCAGCGAACTAGGAACTGAAGAGAATTTCCCCAACCCGATAACAGGCATCTTAAATAAGATAAAGATGCAGCCAGCATCATGCTTAACAATGGAAGGTCGACTGGTTGGATGCTTTCCCCAGGGACGGGAAATACAGCAGAGACGCACGACCAGTCCTGTTCAGTGCGTGAAGCAAGAAGAGGAACGACACAGGGAGCTGGAGAAGAAAGAAACAAGACTATCTTTATTCATGGGTAGCATGATTATCTATCCAGAAAATCACAGAGTCCCCAAAAATCTATTTCTAATAGTAGAAACTTAACCATTGGAAGTTTAGTATTTATAAGCATCATTTACAACAGCACCAAAAATATGAACTACCGAAGTTATAAAGCTAAGAAACGATGTGCAGAGTCTTTATGCTGAAAACCACACAAGTCTGATGAAAGAAATCAGAGCCTCTGCACGTGGGGAGGTCTGTGGGGTTTGTTGGACCAAAGACTCAATATTGTCAAAGTGTCAATTCTCCCAAACAGACTGTAGAAGACTCCAGTTCCAGTCAAAATCCTAGCAGGAACTTTTATGAAAATTGACAAGCAGATTCTAAAATTTACATGGAAATCCAAAGGACGTAAAATGGCCAAAACAATTTGAAAAAAAAACAGCTGGTAGACTCAGACTACCTGATTTCAAGGTGTGCTGTAAGGCTACAGTGACAAGACAGTGTACTGTTGGCAGAGAGGGACACAGGTTCGGGGGACAAACTGGAGTCCACACAGACCCACCCATACAAGGCCAGCTGGTCTTCACAGAAATGCAGAGTAATCCCTTGGAGAAAAAACAGTTTTCTCAGTAAATAAGACTTTAACAATTAGATAAACACATGCCAAAAAATGAACTTCCACTCACTCCTCACACTGTAAACAAAAATTATTCAAAATAAATCATAGACCTAATTTAAAACCTAAAACTGTAAAACTTTTGAAAAAAGAAAATGTGTGACCTTGGGTCAGACATAGTTTCCTTAAATGACATCAAAAGCATGATCCATTTTTTTAAATTATAAACTGGACTTCATCAAGACTAAAAATATGTGCTCTTCTAAAGATGCTGTTAAAAGAATGAAAAGATAAGCCACAGACTGGCAGAAAATACTAGCAAATCGGTATCCAAAATATGAAAGGAACTTCCAAAACAATCCAGTTTAAAAATGGGCAAAAGGCTTGAACAGACATTTCACCAAAGAAGATACATGGATAGCAAATAAGATGTGGAGGAAATGCAGATTAAACCGCAGAGGGGTGTGACCACACCCATTAGAATGGTTGGATGAAAAGCAAAAAAAAGCCCAAGAAACTGACAATAACAAATGCTGGTGAGGAGCGACTGTCACCCTCACCCCCACTCCAGGAATGCAGACCGGCACGGCCACCCTGGAAGACATCCCGGCAGCTTCCTACGAAGTCAAGCGAATATCCTGCCACCCGGCAGTCCCACTCCCAGGCTTTCACCAAGACAAACGCAGGCACATTCAGAGGCGAGGTGCACGGGGTCAGGAAGGCAGGCTCGCAGAGAATTTTCCATGATGTCCACACAGGTCCCAGCCACACCCAGAAGTGTGTGCATGTCCACGCTGTGACTGAGGAAAGCCTTCCTAGCCACTAGCAAGCCACACTCTAGACTTTCTGAGAGTCACGTGTTCCCAGCAAGCAGGTCCACACAGGGACACCGTGACACCAACCACATAGGGTGAAGCAGCCGACCCCAGGGCTCAGGTCCAGGCTGTCCCTGCGGTTACTCCAGAAGCAGGCAAGGACATGAACATCAGGTGACCCCAGGACCCAGACATGGCACCACAACCCTGTGGGGCAGTAACTCAGCCGTGCCAGCTGCAGGTGGTATCCGGGCTGCAGAGCCTGGGGCTGACGGCAGCCAGGCACCTAGGCTCCCCGTCCTGCCTGGCCCGGGAGCCTGGGAGAGGCCGGAGGAGAGCTCTGGAAGGGACACTGGCCGCTCTCCTGTCCACCTCTGTTCACAAGAGGACACCGCTTTCAGGGCCTCCCTGATACATGACCTGCTGGTGCTCCCCAGAACCCTGAGGGCTGGGTCAGAGTGCACAGCCCAGCGGCGCAGAAGCAGTGACCACAGTGGACTGGCAACAAGCAGGCAGACAAACTAAATAACCAAAAAATTAGGCCATGAAATTCGGTCATAAAGGAATGGTCCTTGAAAGGTGGCTCCATCTGAAGCCTTGCAGTCTTGGTGGCCCCTGCCACTCCGGTGGGTCACTAGAAAATGGCGGTGGCAGGATGGGTCTCACCCTGGCCTCTGCCCTCTGGGTAGTGGGCCCCCTATCGGCATGAACCTGGGGCCACGGTAACAGCCACCAGGGCCAAGGGCCAGAGCTGGTGGCTGTTTGTATGTCGCCCCCCACCACCACCCTGTGGTCCCCATCCTGAGGGGGGAAACGGAGGCGCAGAGCGCCGGGAAAACCTCCTCTGCCTCAGCCCAGCCCAGGGCCCCACCCTGCTCTGCTCCTGTACGGTTGGGTGGTGGTTCTTTGCAGAGCCAGGCCAGAGGGAGGGCTGGAGCCACCCCGCTGTCCCCGACCCTGAGACACCCTCCTGTAAGGGCCTCAACTAGCCCTGGCGAGGGCAGGAGATGAAGTGGGCAGTACAGTCAGAACCAGCTGTCTGGATGGGCGGACCAGACAAGCCACGACAATGGGTGGTCTCAGGGGAGGGGCTGGGCTAGCCAAGACAGGGCAGGAGGGGGGTCGGGTCACACCCAGGCACCTCAGCGCCCCACGGGCCCCCAGCCTGCCAGCCAGCCCTCATGTCTGGATTCTCTTCTCTTCCAGAATCGGAGGGCATGACCGTGCCCACCATCACGGCCTTACCTGTCGGTGAGGACCAGGTGGAGATCTCGCTGGGAGAGGTCAGCAAGGCCTCCTGCCCCAGGGCCAGGCAGGGCCATAGCAGCAGAGGAGTGTCCTGGGTGCAGGGCAGTCAGTCCGGCTCAGAGGCGAGCCAGCAGCAGGGCCTCCCTGGCCCGAGGAGCGTGTGTGTGCGTGTCTGTGTGTGTGGTGGATTCAGGACCACAGAGGAGAGCAAGCACGCTCAGAGATGGGGACGGGGGAGGTGTCAGGCTGCCCTTCACCTCATCCCCTTGGCTGGGGTCCTGGGAAGTAAGTCCTTGCAGGTCAGGGCCAGGCTCAGGACCAGCATCTAGGACTGGCAGGGACTTGGCCCTTGGTGGGGACAGCAGGAGGTCCTGTAACAGAGACAAACCAGCCCTGACACCTCTCATCATCTCCTCCTGTGCAGGTGACAGAGGGCGACATCAGCCCCTTCAGCTCCATCAGAGTGCCTGTCATCTTCACCCCCGTCGTCCCAGGAGCAGTGCACACCAGGTTCAAGGTCATGTTCAAGAATCAGCAGTGCCCAGCAGTGAGTATCCCGCTGACCCTTCCCTGGGCATCGGGGCCCCACCCACCAAAGCCATGGGGCAGCTGCCTGTGCAGCCCCCACTTGGACAGTTAGTGGCACACATATGAACACACATGTGCAAGCATCCATGCATACACAGAGAACATGTGCATGTACACCATGCATATGCACACGTGGATGCACATGCACACAGAGCCCTTGCTCAAAACCACTAGACATGTCTCTCCTAATTTCCAAGTAGGTAAAAATTTTATTCATCATTTTTAATCATTTGTTTATAAGTTTATTAAATTATGCTCAGAGAATATAATCTGCAAACTTTTTTTTTTAATTTATTAAGGTTTTCTTTGGGACCAAACATAAGATTGAGTTGCTAAATGTGAGATGTGCATATGAAAAAGTACATTTGTTTAGGGGCTGTAAACATGGTAACTGGATTCTTCACATTATTCACACCCCCGCATGTTCCTTCCACATGTCTGTCTCCCTGGTGACTGTACTTTTACATATCTGACAGGTGGGCTTCAAATGGCTGCTTTATTGTTTGGTGCATGAGTGTTTATGCTTGTTTCCCCATCATGACCTGTGCCTTTGACCAGAACCAAACACCCCCGTTATGATGCTGCTGTGAATTCTAGCTGACCTGGTGACAGTGACAAGGCTGTGCCTCCCTCCTGTGGTTGGGGCCTGTCATGGCCCCTCTGGTCCAGCACACTCACCCTTTTCTTCCAAGCTGTCCGCGAAGGGGCCGGGTCTGTGTGCCGACCCGGCCCTCCCTGCCCTCGTGTGAGCACCCAGCTCCCAGTGGGACACTGACACCGTGTGTTCCTCCCCCATCGGTGTCTCTGTCCATCGCCTACTTCAAGACTTCGGTTCCTCTTCTCGGATTCTCTCATCTTCATCAGTCTCACCAGGTCGCTCTCTGTTTGGGAATTCTAGTCCCCACTCCATGGAGAGCGCCCTTAGATCCCCGTGACTTTCTGTCCTTGTGAGGATGGATGGGCCCCTAGCAAGCACCCCACTTCCTTAAGACCAAATTAAAGTACAACTTTGTCTCCCCGGGATGTGCTCGGTCTTTGGCCCTCAACACGCACATAGGAATTACCAGGTTCTCCTCTGAGGGTGCCCCACTGCTCAGTTCTCACCCGGCGTCAGTGGCCATGCTGCCCAGAGTGGCTGTTGCCATTGGACTGGGGGCTGCTGGGCTCTGGGGCACCAGCTCGCCCTCCTCCTCACCCATTGTGCATGTCTGCTCCAGCCCATTTCCCTGTGAGAACGAGTCTGGCGCAGATGCTTCCTGGAACCCAGAGGGACAGTACACATCTCCAGAGTGTCAGCAACACCCATGGTGCCTCACATGCCCTGCAGGCCCCACAGGACCGCACAGGACCCCACAGGACCTCACAGGACCCCACACACCCCACAGGACCCCACACGCCCCACAGGACCCCACACTCCCCACAGGACCCCACATGCCCCACAGGCCCTGCAGGACCCCACACGCCCCACAGGACCCCACAGGACCTCACATACCCCACAGGACCCCACACACCCCACAGGACCCCACATGCCCCACAGGCCCCGCAGGAACCCACACGCCCCACAGGCCCCACAAGACCCCACATGCCCCACACGCCCCACAGGACCCCACAGGCCCCACACGCCCCACAGGCCCCCACACGCCCCACAGGCCCCAAGGCCAGCACATCAGGACAAGGCCCACTACTCCTGCATCAGCTCCACCTCCCCTACCCAGGGCCTCCTGACCCTCCAGGCCCCTGACCATTGCTCTCCCTGCAGGACACCCATGAATCCCCAGCCCTCCTGAGACCCAGGATTCAGGGGTCTGGCTGGAAAAGCCAACAGCCAAGGTCTGAGTCCAATGTCCCGGCCTGTGGAGTCCTGTGAGCTTCTGTTTTGGGTTGGCCCGGGCACAGCATGCAGCCCACACCTCTCTGTGTGATGCATTATCCTGTAAGGAAAGGACTTATGAACAACAGCTAGAAATGTTGGTGATGATGAAGCTGTGTGACGGTTACATGGCAATCCATTATGCTGTTCTTTTTATGTCTGAAAATTTTGATAGTAAATATGATATTTTACATTATACGATGTGGATAGGTGCCCAGAACTCCCAACGGTGGGTAGTTTAGTGATTGGCCGTCCCATACGTGCAAGTTGCAAGCCGCCGCCGCTAGGTGGTGTGCGGACACCGTGGGGTCACCCCCGGGGGCGGGGAAAGTCCGCTGACCGCCCGCCTTAGCTGTGTTTCAGAGCTGTGGGCGTGGCCATGGACGTGCCGGTCTGGGTCCCGAAGCCTCACGTGGACCTGAAGATATGCATGTACGACCGGCTGTACCAGGACTCCGTCCTCGTCCGTACGCGGTGAGCCCGGGCCGCGTGCCAGGCTGGGCGAGGCCGGCCGGAGGTCATCTGGTTAAGGCTGGAGGCCCCTGGGGGCGCGTGGTCACCAGGGAGGTGGCAGGAGGCTCAGACCCGGAGACGGGCAAAGCCATGGCTCTGGCGCCGACGCGCCCCGGAGCCCGGAGGGACAACCCTGAGCGCGCCTGGACGCCCGCCCCGCGGCCCCGGTGGTGAACACAGGGAGACGGGAGCCTAGCGGGAGGGCGGCGGGGACGGGGCCACCAGAGCAGCCGTTCCTAGAAGCTTTGTACAGAAGTACGACCTAGACGGGAAAAGCAGGCAGGTCCTGTGGGACGGATGCTCATTGGGTAAAGGCGGGTCTGCGTTCTGCCCCTAAGCCAGAGGTGGAGGGCACTGCCCACTACGTGGCTGCGGGGTCCTCCCGCCGCCCTGGTCTGTGACCGCCCTGCAGCACAGCGCGCCTGCCCGTCTGGCATCAGGGCTGCAACCCGGGGTGGGAGGGCGCTGTTCTCGCTGGGGAGCTAGGCACTCAGTGGCAGGGGGTTGTTTGGGAAGCAGTGGGGGCGGGGGCAGCAGAGGGCTCTGGATCATGGCCCACAGTCCCTCTTGCTACTCAGGGAGGGCGCGCGTATGTGTATGTGTGTGTGTGTGTGTCACACACACAAGGGGCTGGCCAGGTCCCCAGAGACTTGGGCTGGATGGGGAGGGCAAGCGTCCTGGGAGAACAGGGGGCCCCAGGTGAGCCCTGATGGGGTTGCTGGGGCACTCAGTAGAAGCGGGGTGGTGGATGGTGGTGGGCACACTTGACTTTCTGTGGCTGGTTCTGATTTGGAAGTGGGGACAAACGCAGTGCTGTCAGGTAATCCAGTCTGGGGAGGCCTCCCTGCGTCGAAGGTGAGACCTCAACCCAGGGGAGGATTCTTGACTGACGGAGAAAATTGGTGAATAGTTTGGGCCAGTGCAGATAAGGAAGGATCCATTAAAGAGAGTGGTAGTGAATGGCCGCAGCCGGGCGGCAGGGCCAGAAGAGCAGAGGGGGGAAGGGGCAGCCCACCGAACTGCTCGGCACGCGGCACCTCCCTCGCCAGCTCCTGATGCCGGGGCCCCCTGGCGCCCGGTGTCCGCTGGGATCTGCGTGGAGTGGGAACTAAGCCCCCACCACCCCGGGGCTCGGGGGAGCCGCAGAGCCCTGGGTGGAGGGAGCTCATGTCCTGAGCACTCCCACCCCCCTCCTGGTCTGAAGGACGCTGCTGAGACTAGGGAGCTGCATGAGATAGTGGCGTGACAGGGACGCCTCCCCCCAGAGGCCGAGGCGGGAGAGGGCTTCTCTTTATCATGGAGAAGAGTTCGGATTCAAGTGCAGTCAGCTTATGAAGGAGTTATTTGATAAAACGGTACACACTGATGGATGCAGGTACCTCGGAGAGAAAGTGTGCGCAGGGTTTAGGGTTTGGGGTTTTGGGGATTTCAAGAATGGGGTAAAGGGTCAGGAGAGCATAGGCTGACATCTCATGACGTCTGTCTCTGGTGAGAGACATTATGTCACCACCAATGGTCAGTCCTCTAGATATTCTGTAAGGTAAACTTAACACAAGGTACTACTGATCCTGTTCTCTGAGGTAGTGGTGACCCTCGGCAGTGGACACATACCACGTAGGGCTGCTCGCCTGCCCTAAGGTAAGGTTAGCTGTCGGCTAATCACCATCGTAGGAATCTCACCTCCTATCTCCTTGGTTTTTCAAATGAATCTTAGCCGTAAGGTAGAGACCCCCCTGTTCTTACATACTATTCGTATGTCTGCATTTTCCGTCCTAGGTAGGAAAAGTCAAACACGATGCTTGTCCCCTGCCCCCACCTGCCTCAGTAGGGAGGCTGACCAAGGCCTGGCCGTTCTCCTGAGCTCGTGCTGCGGCCCCTCCCCCAGCCTTCACCTGGGGCCGGGGGAGGAAGGCAGTACCCTGCCCGCGGAGTCCCACCCCTGCAGGCCCCTGCACCCAGCACCTGCCTCGGGTATCCGAGAACCGACCAGGGATCTATCTCAGCTGTGAGCTTGTGTGTGAGAACCGCTCACTGGACTGGCTCTCGAGAAAGCAGGCCTCACAGGCACGGCTCTGAGGACAGCCGCGCACACCCTGGCTTGGCGTGGGGTGCCCAGCGCCTGAGCCATCCTGACGCGGCTGCTGACTTGCATCCTCTGCGTGCCGCAGGTCAAAAGCCACCCTGCGCCTCACGTTCGAAGTGTGCAAGGAGCTGAGGGCCCACATAGAGCTGCTGCCTGAGACCGGCTACATCCAGGCCCTGTCGTCCTACTCAGTGCAGCTCAAGTTCCTGCCGCGGTGAGCACTGGGCCGCCCGAGAGCGGGAGCTGGGCACATGCAGGCCTCACAGCCCTTAGGGTGCATGTGCCGTGAATCCTGTCCGTGTTGTAGTGCGACTTAGAAGCCCCACTCACGGTTGTTTCACTGTCATTTTGCAAATATGAGGAGGAAAAGCATACAGAGGCATCCTGTCTCTTCCAGACACTCCCTTCCAGAGGACGCGGGGAAGTATTTCGACAAGGAAACCAGGGTTCTGGAGGCCCCAGTGACAATACGGGTGGCTGACCAGGTCTGTGTGGGGCACTTCCCGGAATTGCAGGGCCCGGTTCTCAGAGCCCACCTTCACTGCTGTCTGCCTGACAGCCCCTGCACAGAGGAGACGGGGGTGTCAGCAGATTGGACAGGCCCCCGAGTGAGGCCCAGGTCCGTGTGGGATGTCCCCCAGTCACCCAGGCCACACGTGCCCATGCACACACACCAGCATGCTCACAGACACATCTACACACAGACCAGGGAGCATGTGTGTGCAGGCCCTCAGTGCACAGAGTACAGCACACACACATGCTGCTCCCTCCTGACATGTCTGCCACTGCTTTCCCGGCCTCCCATGACAACCTGCACAGGGTGTGACGTGGCACGGCAAGGCCTGTGCCCCTCGGTACTTGGAGACATTCGCATGAACCAACTGCTTTGTGCTTCAGATCAAACCCGTGGTGTTTACCGTCCATGCCATAGTCACCACCTCAGACCTGGAGCTCAACCCCCCAGAGGTGGACTTTGGCTACTGTACCATCTACGAGGCCATCAGGACCCAAGTCAGCCTGTGCAACCACTCCCTCCTGCCCCAGGAGTTTGGTTTCGTCGGGCTCCCCAAGGTGCCTGGCATGGTCAGGGAGGGGCAGTTGGGGAGTTCTAGGCTCCAGCCAGGGCAGCAGCTGCTCCAGGGTCTGGGTACCCAGCACCAGGCAACCTCATCCTCCCCACACCCCATGCCCACCTGCTGTCTGCACCTCAGCCCCGGCTCTGCTTGCCCCTCCCCTCATCCCCACTGTCCCCTAGCGTCACTTTCCCTGCCCCTCTCTGTCCCTGCCTCTGTCTCCCTCTCTCTGGCCCACTGCTCCCTGGGTCTCCAGGCTCTGCTTCAGGAGGTCCTGCTGGTCCGGCCTTGCAGAGCTGCCAAAACGACACTGGGGTTGGGCCGCCCCTCACCCCTCCCTGGGCTGAACCCCGCTGACCCCACCATCCATTCATATGCACACGGACACAGACACATTCACAAGTGTGCTTACATACACAGAGACACACAGACACATCTACAAGCATGTTTGATACAGGCAGCCACGCTCACACATGCTCACAGGCAGACAGGCTCACACATGCAGAAAAACAAGCATGCAGGTCATGCTCACATGCACATACATATTCACACGCACAAACATGTTCACATGCATGCTCATGCCTCACCCCTGCTGACACGTGTCCATAGAGTGCACCTGTGACACTCCCCAGCAAATTGCTGTGATTTCAGCTTGGCGCTGACAGTTTTCTGTTTGCCAGTTTGTGGATATCCAGCCCAACGACGGATTTGGGACAATCTTGCCGCTGGAAACCCTGCCCCTGGACGTGACCTTCCAGCCCTCTGAGGCCAAGGAGTACAACTTTGAGCTCCTCTGCAAATCGGAGATTGGCCGGTGAGCCTGGTGCCGAGGCAGCCCATCCCGCCACCTCGGGCCAGGACCTTGCACACTAGGCCTCACCCTGCACGTGAGCGTATGCAAACGTGGGTGTGCTGCGGAGAGCACCCTTTGCACTCAGAGGGCCTGGTAACCCCACCTGCTCTAATGTGGTAGGACTGGCTCAGTCACCACACCTCTCTGAGCCTCCATTTCTGCCCCCAAGATGGGCTGAAGAGAGGAAGAAATGCGGGCACGTGGTGGTGGTCGGGGTGAGGGCCCGCTCTTACTGCTGCCTGGGGCTCTCACCCCAACCACTGCCCCTCCTCCCCTTCCTCGCTGGCCCCGTTCCCACCATGTCCCAGCCTGAGTCATTGTTTGGTCTGGGTCGGGGGCTGGGGCCGGGCTTGCAGGGTCGGGCTGGCCAGAGCCCAGAATCACTCCCCTTGGCCCAGGGCCAAGCATGCCTCATGGGCACGTGGCCCTGGGCAGGACCTGTGTGCCAGCAGGCTTCTGACACACTCATGGGCAAGCAGGAATGAGCCTGAGGTGGTGAGGTTTCAGGAGTGACACGCAGAGTTAGGACCCACAGTGACAGTCGAGGAGGCCCGACTCTGCCCATGGGCCATGCCCCACCCTGGCACTGCCCACACCTCCCACTCATCCTCAGTGACCCAAGACCTGTGCGCCATGAGAGGAAGGGCTCTCACCCAGTTAGTGGGGGACCCCAGTGCCCAGGACGCGCTCTGGCCACAGTCAGAGCTCCGCAGAGGGTCACAGGAAGCCCAAGCTCAAAGCCTGTGGCTAAAGCAGAGCGTTCGTGGGTGGGCGGAGTGCACAGCCCAGACACAGCCCAAGCTCAGACCCTCCTCAGGGAGCCCAGGCCCCCAGGCGCATCCCTGGCCTGGGACCCCAGGGGCAGCCCAGGAGCTGTCCCGCCCCCTGTGTCCAAACCCCCTCCGCCCTGGCCGCCCTGCTGCTCTGGCCGAAGCCCCAGGCCAGCCCTCCCCTGATAGGCCTCCACTGATGACGCCGGGCGTGAGCAGGCCCTGTGCGAGCCCGGGCTTTCCTCCCCTTGGGCAAGCATCCAGGAGTTGGACTGCCATAGAAAATGGCAGTTCGGTCTTAATTTTATGAGAAACGGCCCAGCTGTCCTCCGGGGCCCCTCCGCCGCTTCACCTGCTCCACCGTGATGCAGGGATAGCCCGGTGGGTTTTCTGTATATTCTGATTCTTTGGCAGGCTTGCAGTCTCCCTCACCTGTGGCCCGTCTTTTCATTCTGTCGACAGTGTCACCTGTGAAGCAAAGCCTTTAATGTTGACAGAGCCCTGCGCACCCACTGTTTCTTTGTGGATTGTGAGTTTGGTGTCATTTCTCAGAATTTTCTCCCTGGCTCAAAGTCACAGATATTTCCCTTTAGAAGCTGTGCGTGCTCCCGTGTCGCGGGTGAGTCTGCGACCCCTTTCCATGCGCTTTGTATAAGGAGTGGACTGGTGGGAGCCCGGTCCTTCCCCGCGGCCCCAGCCCTTCGGTGAGCGCGCCGACCCTGAGCGGAACCGGCTTCCTCCTCTCGTCGCTGCTGGTGACGCTTTGCCTGCAGACTCTGCACTTGGATGTCTGTCGATATGAAAATGAACCTTTCTTTCCTGAGGACCCTGGATACTGATGCGTCAGCCTCACCCTCCGTCTTCGGTGTGCAGTGTCTCTGTCCACATCTGATAGCCATCTGACTTCCTTCTTGCTGGAGGCTCACGGGGTCTATTTCTTCTTATTTAAAATCCAGTAACTTCATGAGAACACATTTTGGTGTTGGTTGTTCTCTACTGGTTTTCCCAGGTGCAGTGTTTTTCAACTTTTTAAAGTTCCTGAAATGGTTCGGGTCTGCGGTCCTTAGGACTTGCCTGGTCGTCCTGCCTCAGTCTGGCGTCAGGGCCTCTGTCGTGAGCACGACAGGTCTTCTTTGCTTCCTCCGCACTCACCGCGTGCTCGTGAACCCTTTCCATCGCTTCATTCTTTACTTTCCAGACGACCAGTGGGGGACCCCAGTGCCCCTTTTCACTGCAGCGTCATTTCTGAACTACTTTTATGTACGATGCTTTCTGACATCTGTTTGCACCTTGTATTATTTTCTCACCTTTCAAGCCCACTCTGAGACCTTACGTCAGTTTCCCTCCGTTACCCATGTGTTGTCTGCCCTTCCTCTTGCGCCTTAGTAAGAGCTGCTGTGCCTGTGGTTCAGCCTCACCTCTTTCTGCTGCTCGTCCTGAACGTGTGCAGGGGCCCAGCTAACACCCTCCTCCGCCTCGCGCACCCTCTGCACTGGCAGTGGTCTCCGCCTCCTCTCCCTGTCCTTTCTGGTTTTAGATAGTCCCAGAACCTAAAGAACCAGCATCGCCAGCCCGCCACCCTTACATTCTGTCACGTCTGCTCCAGAGATGCGTGTCCTCACTTGCTCCCCCGCCACCCAGAGCCCAGCCACTCTCGAACAGTCCAGGTCCCGCGGGGTTGCGAGGTTCTTACCTCTACACGTATTTGTATCTACATGTGTTCTCTTAAATGTTCATGAACACAGGGTGGATCAACTGTGCCCAGAATCAGGACGCCCGGGACTGAGGGCTTCAGTGCTGAACCCAGGAACTCCCGGGCAGGCTGGCAGGGACGGCCACCCCACCCCGTTGGTGGTATCATACTGCACGTACTGATCCACATCTTGTTTTGGCTTTCCCCCCATCTTTATGTATTTTTGTAATTGATCCATGTTAACACACCTAAAGGTTCGACATGTTAAATTTGTGAACCATCAAAAGCAGCTTAGTCAGGGAATTTCTAGCTCCAAATGCAAATGAAGAGAAGGCAGCTTAAAAATCAGTGATCTAAGCTTCCTTTTCAAGAATTAGGAAAAGAACGCAACAAATTAAACCCAAAGAAAGAAGTAAGGACATAATAAGAGTGGGAACTGGTGAAACGGAAATCAGATATTCAACAGAGAAAACCAACAAAACTAAAAATCTTTGTGAAAATTAGTAAATTCATTACTCCTAACAAGACTGATCAAGATAAAAAGAGGGAAAACACAAATTACCAATCTCAGGAATGAAAGGGGACATTACTACAGATCCCACAAACATCAGAAGGACAATAAAATAATGTGAACAACTTCACACCAGTAAATGTGACAGTTTGGGTGAAATGCACAAACTCCTCAAAACACACAAGAGAAAAACAGAAAGTCTGAGTAGTCAGCCGCTGTTAAGGAAATCAGATGCCACCTATGGGACCTGGGACCTGACATGGAGCCACAGGCTTGCTGCTGACCGGAGGTGAGGTCAGGCCCAGTTTGACCTGCAGCACCTGCTTTGCCTCCAAGGTCAGATAGAGAATATTACCCACATGCTGAATGAGCACATCTTTACCTGAAGTACACATTTTAAAGCAGATGCTGAGATAAAAGCATTTTTCCAGCAAATGTGTGTTGGAATGACGGTGAACGGCATCCTAGCTCTCCCTTGAGGCCCCGGGCTCAGTAGCTAGCGAGGAGGGCAGCATCTAGCGCTTCGGCTTCCAGCGGTTTCCGTGGGCCTCAGTGGCATGAGGGCCTCTGCTTCTGTCCTTGCGGCAAGAAGGGTCTCAGCGAGCGGCTGGGTGGACTATTCAAAATGCTGCTCGGGGAGGTGCCGGCATATAAAGAAAAGGAGTTCAAAGGGTCGGTGACACTGTGGAGCAGGCCCCCTCGTTCCCGGTTCCTGAGTCTGAAGTCCCGACGCCCCCGCCACAGGTTGCAGCACAGACGCTTGTACTCGACCAGAAAACAGCTCCACCCACCGCCCTAAAATGAGCCCTATAAAATCTTTGTACGAAACAATCACATTTCATACATTCATGTGTTTTCAATTAATTGGTATTAATAACACCTCAGTGATATCTCCACAGTATCTCCACTCAAAAGGGATTTCTGTGTCACAGGATGTTTTTGAGTCTGTGGTCCCAGGACAGACACATACATTGACATGCTTCAACACATGAGCACATTGTTAGTGTAGAGAAATGTGGCAAGGTAATCCACATCATTTAAAGCACTAAAATCTATGGAATTAGGACAAAATTCGATGAGAGTGCAATGGGAAAAGGACTCCAGAGACAATGTGGGATGTAAAGTTCCCGATGGTTAAAATACCAAATATCCACTCTTTTTCTTAAGAAAGATGGCAGGCATTAGCTCACGGTGGCATATTGGTGCCTGTGCTTATATTTAAAGAGCAAATTTATCAGCTTTATATCTATTTTTTTATTTTATAAAGGTATTATTGATATACACTCTTATGAAGATTTCACATGAAAAACAACGTGATCACTACACTCACCCCTGTTATTGTGTCCCCCTGACACCCCATTGCATCACTGCCCATCGGTATAGTAAGATGCCTCAGAGTCCCTATTTGCGTTCTCTGTGGTACACTGTCCTCCCCCTGATCCCCCCACACCATGTGCACCAATCATGATACCCCTCAATCCCCTTCTCCCTCCCTCCCCACCCGCTCTCCCTCACCCCTCCCGTTTGGTAACCACTAGTCCCTTCTTGGAGTCTGTGATTCTGCTGCTGTTTTGTTCCTTCAGTTTTGCTTTGTTCTTATGCTCCACAGATGAGTGAAATCATTTGGTACTTGTCTTTCTCTGGTTTATCTCACTGAGCATAATACCCTCCAGCTCCATCCATGTTGTTGCAAATGGTAGAATTTGTTTTCTTCTTAAGGCTGAGTAATATTCCATTGTGTATATGTACCACCTCTTCTTTATCCATTCATCTACTGATGGACACTTAGGTTGCTTCCATTTCTTGGCTATTGTAAATAGTGCTGCGATCAACAGGTGCATCTGTCTTTTTGAATCTGAGAAACTATATTTTTTGGTTACATTCCAAGGAGTGGGATTCCCGGGTCAAATGGTATTTCTATTTTTAGTTTTTTGAGGAACCTCCATATTGCTCTCCACAATGGCTGAACTAGCTTACATTCCCACCAGCAGTGTAGGAGGGTCCCCTTTCTCCGCATCCTCGCCAGCATTTGTTGTTCTTAGTCTTTTCAATACTGGCCATCCTAACTGGTGTGAGGTGATATCTCACTGTGGTTTTCATTTGCATTTCCCTGATAATTAGTGATGTGGAGCATCTTTTCATGTGCCCTTTGGCCATCTGAATTTCCTCCTTGGAGAATTGTCTGTGCGCCCATTTTTTAATTGGGTTATTTGCTTTTTGGGTGTGAGGTGTGTGAGTTCTTTATATATTTTGGATGTTAAACCCTTGTCAGATATGTCATTTACAAATATATTCTCCCATAATGCAGGATGCCTTTTTGTTCTGCTGATGGTGTCATTTGCTGTACAGAAGCTTTTACGTTTGATGTAGTCCCATGTGTTCATTTGTGCTTTTGTTTCCCTTGTATTTTTTAAATGGCAAAGAATATCTAACAAAATTGGCCAGAGATGAACTCCTCAGCAGCTGGTTGGCCTTGAGACTAAAGCTGTAACTCCCACTTGAAACGTTCACGGACACACACGGTCCGTTTAGAATTCACCAAAACTGATGAGCTGGGGGTGAGCCAGACCTGTTCCGCAGTGGGGCCCCCAGCTCCACCCAGAAGCCACCTTGGGGCCACAGAGGGACCCCGCGTCCCCGGCTGAGCCCACTCACACTGCTCGCTCGCAGGTGCTTCAGGCTGACGTGCCGAGCTGTGGGGGTCCGCCCGCCCCTCGAGCTGTCCCACCACCAGATCAAGTTTGCAGCCACCTCCGTGTACGGCACGTCCGTGGCCGCTCTGTACGTCATCAATTCGCACCTGAGCACGAGCCCCCTGACTCGCTCCATGCCCCGCATCGGCTCGGCGGGTGCCTCCCCCGTGGGGCCCACCACTTTCGAGTTCCTGCTGCCCCCAGACTCGCCCATCACCATCTCTCCCTCCGTGGGGACCGTGCTGCCAGGAAAGGTGGGCGTGGGCCCCGAGGTGGGCCTGGGGTGGGGTCAGCCCGAATGCCTGCTTTGCTGGCCCTTGACCACAGCAGTTTAACCCCACCAGCAGATTCGGGGGCAGCTCTGACCCTCATCAGACCCAAGCAGGGCCATGGAGGCCTTGGTGGTGGGGGTAAGAGGCCCAGCCTGGCCAGAGGCAGGGGCACCCACAGGCGCTGACCCACAGGCACCTGATGGGGGCCTCGGGTGGTTTAGACCGAGGGAGGTGCACACACCCTGGGACCTCACGGCAGATGGGCCCAGCGGCCTGGCCACCAGAAGTGAGAGGCATCCGTCTACCCGACTGACCCTGATAAAGCGAGAGCCAGCCAGGAGGGGGGCCGTCCCAGCCCCTTGGCTTCATTCCTCACCTACAGAGCAAGGGCGCCAAGTGAGGAGGGGCCTTCCGGACCCTGGCAGGGCTTCCACAGCTGTTTCCTTAGATTTAGCAACGCCTGCTTAGGTGCTGGTCCCGAAGGCTGTGTCACAGCCGCGCCTCTGTGATCTCTGTCTCTGTGCCTCTTTCTGTCTCACTGTCTCTGCCTCTGACCCCATCTCTCTGTCTCTGTCTCTTGGTCTCTCTCCCCAACATCACCTGCCCCGCACGTTTTTGAGCCCCTTTGCTGTACCGAGCATGGGGTGATTGTGACAAGCCAGCCCTCTGTGGGACCTGGGGCCTTCCTTTGGGACAGACTGCAGTGTGGAGATGCTCTGGGGGACAGGTTGAAGGCAAATCTCACCCCAATCTCAGTGGCTGAACATGCAGGTCCCCTTCTCCTGGAGCCTCGTGGTGAGGGGACCTGGTGACAGTGCACTGCAGCCCCACGTCTGCACAGTGGTCTGGGAGGCCTCCCTGGAAGGGGCGTGCTACACCAAGCGCCCAGGGAAGAGGTGGGGGGTGGGAGTGTGAGCGCGGGACCCCTGGTGCCTTGGGCGGGGCCATGGGTCTGAGGAAGGGGGGCAGGGCCAGCTCACCATCCCCCCATCCTGGCTGCTGTCCCCACAGAAGTGCCTGGTCCAGGTGGCCTTCCAGCCTGGGCTGTCCAGCAAGCTGGTCCGCAAGGAAGCCTTCCAGGCTCTGGCCAAAGAACTCAAGGTCAGGCAGGGGCGTGGAGCGAGGGGCGGGGGCGCGTGCCAGTGCGGGCCAGTTTCCACCCCAAGGCTGGGACAGCCACCCTCTGGGCCCTGGGGCCAGGCCCTGCCAGGAGCCACACAGGTTTTCGGGAGCATCAGAGGGTTTCAGGAGTCTTAAGCATTTCCTCAGCAAGTCCCCTGCACCCCTGCATCACCAGGCAGGGGATCCCCAGAGGGGCTCTTGGGACGCACGGTTCCTCACCGCCTGAGGGAAGCACGCCGGCACTGGGCAAGTCCTGTGAAGGGTCAGGCCTGCTGCCCCAGCAGCCCTGGGAAGGCCGTGCCTCCTGACAGGGCAGGGTGTCACAGGGCCCAGAGGACGCCCACACGGCTGCCCTGGGGATGGGCAGGGCCCAGCTGTGTGTCTCTAGCCTGGTGTCTGCAGTGGGCAGTGAGGCCCGGGGGAGACCGCGGTTCTTGTGAGCTCTCTGCCCCTCCTTGTGCTTCAGTTTCCCCGTCCGTGAAGGCCCACAATGGCTCTGCCCTGGGGGCTGTTCTCTCCCTCTGATACTCACCGTCCCCACCGCTCAGTCCCACCGGCTGTCCTCCTGAGGAGCCCCTCGGTGTTTGGGGCCCCAGCCCTGCCAAACGTGTGCCCCAGGGGCTCCCGCACTGCGCTGTCTGCCCAGGCCTGGGCAGGCCCTGGAGGAGCCTGCAAGGGGCAGACCCACAGCTGGCCTTCCCCTGCCACAGGCCCACAAAGACACAGCCACCCCGAGGAAGGACCTGCAGAGACTGTCCTTTTCGAGGCTACAACTCCAGGACCAAGGCCAGCTGGTCCAGGCCTCCGCCCCGCAGCCCCTGGAGCTGCAGAAGCATGGTGTCAACTCCCGGTGAGCCGGGGGAAGGCTGCCCCACTGCCTCTCCCCGGGCCCCCCCAGAGACCCTCCCAACAGGCTGCCTAGAATACAGCTGTTTGGAGCCATGTGACTGGAAGTTCGGGGCTGGGCTGGCTTCAGACACAGCTGGATCCAGGCACTGCCTCTGCCTTGCTGGGCATCTGCCCACCCTACTCCCCTAGGCCCTGTGTGCCTGTGAGCAGCATGCTCACTACACAGCTGGGGAGCGGCTGCTGGTCAGTAGCCCCAGCCCCCAGGGCGTGCGCTGAGCCCCCAGGGCACTGGCGAGCCTGAGTTCTTGCCAGCCCCACACCCATCCTTGCCTGTGGGCCCAGGACCACGGCTCTCTGGTTAGGCGCCTGAGCAGGGCCCCGGGGTAGGGAGAGGCCCCCAAGGAACTAGGGAGAGGTAGGAAAGCCGACTGGACAGACTAAAGTCACCCCTCCAGCCCAGGGCCTGGGGAGCAGGCGTGGCCTTGAGGACCCTTCCAGGAGGGTGGGGCGGGGCCTCCCAGCCACCAGGGCCATGCGGGCCAGAGGCTGAGAGCAGTTTACCGGCTTCATTCCAGCTCCGATGAGTACCAGGCCTCACAGGCCGCCCTGGCCAGGTCTTTCCAGGGGAAGTTTGACAAGTTTGTGGTCCCCTGTGTCCTTGCCAGTGATGACATCAAAGACAGGAAGGGGATGGAGCCACTGAGCTTCAGGTGCAGGGTTGGGAGGGGTTTGTGGCAGAAATCACTCTGTCTCTTCTCTGCTACCAGCTCATAGCTGGGCCAAGGGGTGGGGGGCAGGGAACACTGGCTGGGGATGGCGGGGGCCAGGGCAGGGGCCAGGCTGGGCGCAGCTGGTCAGTGCACCCTTGTCCCACCCCCAGCCCTCACAACACCCTGTTCCTGGAGCTGTGGTGTCCGGCAGTGGCACCAGCCATTGTGGTGACATCTGACAAAGGCAAAACCATTTCCAACTTCGGTGACATTGCTGTAGGTGAGTCCTGATTGGGTCCAGACCCCACATCCCCCTGCCCACGGGAACCCAGACCCCTCAGTGGCCCCCAGGCCTGCCACTGGGCCTGATACCCCAATCTGGTTTCAGGACACCGCTGCATAAAGAAGGTCGCCATCCAGAACATCTCCTCTGAGGATCTCGCCGTATCCTTGTACACACCCAGCCAGCGTCTTACCGGGAATGGGGGGCTGTCAGGCCTGCAGCCCACCTGTGCCACCTCTCCTTAACCCGGGCCTCAGGTGGACTTCTCCGTGCTGAACCCCAGTGGCCCCTTTGTCCTGCTGAACCCCATCAGAGAGCTGGCTGCGGGCGAGACCCGGGTCCTGGCGCTCTCCTTCTCCCCCCAGGAGACCGTCCCGGTGAGCCCCAGTCCCACCCGAGCCCGTGCTGCAGCCCTGGGCCCCACGGCCACTCTCCACTGCAGCCCACCCTGCACGCAGGCCCATGGCTAACTGGCCAGCCTGCTGGGCCGGCACCTCTCGCCGGCAAGCAGGAGGCTGGCACATTCTGAGCGGCTTAGCGCAAGTATGCTGTGACCCAGCTGCGCCCACGAGAGCTCCTGCACATGCGCCTGACAGACGTCTGCTCCACACTGAAGGACATGATCTCCACAGGCCCAAGAAATGCTGGACGTCATCACCAGGCGAGGCACACTCTCCCTGACCCTCATGGGCACCGGTGTGGCATCCACGATCGCATGCTCCATTGAAGGGGGCGTCCTCAACATGGGCTATGTGATCGCCAGAGAGTCGGTCTCCTCAGGCTTCCAGGTGAAGCTGGTGGCAGAGGCCCTGGTGCCCGCCCTGGCCTCCCGGGAGGGGCTGTTCCCTGGGAGGTGGAGCCTGCCCTGGCAGGGGAGCCACCAGAGGCACAAGCTGCCCCTGGCCCTGCCCCCTCCAGCAGGGGAGGCTGAGGACGCCCTACCCCCACACCTGGCTGCCCCGGCCTTGGGGCCTTTGCATGGCTGCACCTTCAGGGAAGAGGAGCTCAGCTCAGGCGCTGCTGGGGGGCCGGGGCTCGCAGACTCCCTGGTGAGGTGGCCCTGCCCCAAGGTTCCCACATCACGCAGGAGGGCAGGCCTGGCTCCCAGTGCCCCTCCAGCCTCTGAGGAATGCACAGGCCTTGGGATCAAGCAGCCCGCAGGACACCAGCTTCCTCGCCCAGCTTGGATGGAGTCCTGCAGCAGAGCCCAGGACAGGGATTCTGGGCAGCGTCTTACGGGGGGGCGCGGGCAGGGGACGCTCTTAGGACAAGGGGGTGAGGGCGAGGAAAAACCTGGGCAAGAACCTGGGTTCTGGGGAAGGCTGGCCCGCCCCTGGCAGAACAGGGAGCCCTGGAGAACGGTACGGTGGGCTGTCCGCCATGAGGCCGCGGGGCTCCGGCTGGGTGCTCCAGCCTAGGGAAGGGTAACACGAGGGTGAAGGAGATGGACAGACAGCTCCGCAAAGCACCGTGAGCACCAGTGTGGGGGGCTGGGGCAAGGGCGTCCAGGGCCCAGTGGAGGCAGCCATGACCCCTTCCCCTGGCAGCTGCAGAACAACTCCCCGTTGCCCATCAAGTTCTCCATGCGGCTGGACAGCCTCTCCAACGCCAGGACTGAAGGCCGGCAGCAGGTGCCACAGTTCCTGGCCTCACGGGACCAGAGGACGGACATCGTGGGTGAGTGGGCGTGCGACCACTGCAGAGGGGCAGCAGGGGCTGCAGGCCATGGGGTGGCCGGGAGCAGAGAGCAATCAGCGGGGTGTGGGGAACGGGACATGGGTGGTGCTGCGGTGGACAGAGTGACCAGGGGCATGGGGGCTGAGGGAGCACATGCAAGGGTGCGGGGACACAGGGCCAGGGGCACGAGGGGCACCCGCCGCACTGCCCCCACAGGCACACAGAACCTCAGTGGCCAGAGTGTGTTCAGCGTGGTCCCGGTTGAGGGCATCCTGGAGCCCAGCAGGGCGCAGGACTTCACAGTGACCTTCAGCCCAGACCACGAGAGCCTGTACTTCTCCGACCAGCTGCAGGTCATGCTCTTTGACAAGGTGGGTCACCACCCACCCACCCCTTCCCCTCCTGGAGCCCAGACTCCAGGTGGCAGGACGAGGCCGCTGTGCTCCCGTTCCCAGACGCTGTCCCACCAGATCCTCTTGAAGGGCGCTGCCCGCGAGCACATGATGTTTGTGGAGGGTGGAGACCCCCTGGACGTACCTGTGGAGTCCCTGACCATGACCCCCACCTTGGCCCTGGAGCGCAGGGAAGGTGAGATCCCTGAAGGCAGGGGCCCGCACAGGTGGGTGGCAGTTGGAGGACCCTCCAGCTCCTCGCCCACCCCTAGCAACCTGCCAGGTACAGACAGTACAACCCTCCCGGCCCATCCCTGAAAGTGGGAGAGGGCAGGGGTAATGCCAAGTGGGCATTTCATGAGGACTGTTCTCCCGTGCTCCTTGCCTGACTCCAGGCAGCTCCCTCACTCCCTCTGCCGCCACCTCCCTGGGGTGCACCTTCCCCCAGCACCCAGCCAGGCCCTCCCCCTCCAGAAACCGAGGAGCTGAAGCCCATCCTGGTGACCCTGAACTATGTTCAGCTAGACGCGGACACGCCAGCCCCACCTGCCACCCGAGAGCTGCAGGTGGGCTGCATCCGAACCACCCAGCTGACCCAAAAGAAGGTGACCAGGACACTGCCCCGCCATGCCTGGGCAGCTGGGGACCCTCCTGGCCCTGCCCTGTGATAGGTGGGGGCGGGCAGCCTCATGGCTGGGGCTGCGAGGTCGGATGGAGCCGGACCCCCTCCTCCCCAGCCCCACTGCCCCCTGAACCCCACTGCCCCGCAGAGCATCGAGTTCGGCCTGGACAGCATCGCCTCCCTGCAGCACAAGGGCTTCACCATCGAGCCCACCAGAGGCACAGTAGAGCGCGGCCAGACCAAGACCATCAGCATCTCCTGGGTGCCGCCTGCAGACTTTGATGTAGGTGTCAGGGACCTTGGCCAGGGGACCCCACAAAAGTCAGAAAATGGCGGCTGGCACCCCTGCCCACCTGGGAGGGTCTGCTGGGTGGGCAGGTGGCCGGAGCAAGACAACAGACCTGCCTACCGGCTGAAGGCCCCCTCCTCCCTTTCGCATTTCAGCCGGACCACCCACTCACTGCGTCAGCCCTGCTGCAGCTCCGGGGGGCTGTGAAGGAGACCTACAAGGTCCTTTTTGTAGCCCAGGTTGTGACCAGCCCCTGACATGACAGAAGTCTCTCCCCAGAGACCCCTCAGGCCCTCCTGCTCACCCCGGAAGCCCTCCCCTGGCCCCCAGGTTTGATGGGTAGCCCTTTGCATGGCCCATGGCCAGGGTACCCCTGCCCCTGCCCCTAACCCAGTGAGCTGGGAGCCAAGAGCACCCCCTCCCCCGGCCCCCACACTCCCGAACCAGCGATGAGGCCAGTCCTGCCCACAACCTACTCCTAGCCTGAGCCCCTCCAGGCCCCAGGCCCACCAGCATCTATTCAGCTTTTAGAGGCTCTGGTGGAAGGAAGAGCTGCCCCCGCAGGTCTGTCAATAAACCCCCTGTGTACCTGCCTGCAGTGTTGGCTACAGCGAGTGATTCATGGGCTGAGTGCAGATGAGAGGTGGGGAGAGGGCCCTGGGGAGGCAGCCCTCCGCCTCCCACCCCCACACAGTGTGTAAGGCAGTGGCCTCTGCCCTCTGGAAGGAGGGGCTGCGCGGGAGAACTGGCCAGGCGGAGTGCCGGGGCACAGGGCCGCAGTGTGGAGTGGCCCAGACCCAGAGGGGCCCAGCGAGGAAGGGCAGGAGGCCCAAAGTCATGGTGGCCTTCAGGCCTCCCTGCCCCTCCCAGGACACAGGATGCCTGACGACCCCAAGCAGGGAGGCAAATGCCAGAGACACAGCCTCCCTCACGTCCTCCCTCAGGGCCCAGCTGGAGTCCATGGCCACACCCGGCATATGAGTTAGGTTCTCTGCTTTGCTGAACTGAGTCTGGGCGCTGCCATCTGGGCCACCTGACTCCTCAAGTTAGAAGCCCCCCAGCCCGTGAGGTGCTCCTGGGAGCCCAGAATGGTGCCCACACCCCAGCCCCTGCCTTCTGGAGAGTGGCTGGTTGGACACAACCCACGGAGCCCAATCCAGCCTGGCCAGCCACCAGGAGAGCACACGCACCCTCCCCGGCAGGACTGGGAGGCCTTTCCTGAGCGCAGGTTCCAGGGCTCACCCCAGCCCCACAGTGTCCCTGATGCCTGGAAGCCTGCCCTCTCCCTGACCTTGAGCCGGTGGTGGTGACCCCTGAACAGCATTTTGCAGGACTTGCATCTGATGGGCAGACCCAGGTCTCTTCCTGCGCCTTGCTGGGGCTGACCGGCCACGGCCCTAGCTGCTTCCTCACCAGATAAGAGAATAGGGAAGTGTCCCGCTCCTGCTGGGCACAGGCCCCCGGAGAAACGGTTCCCTGCAGAGCGTTGTCCCTGCTGCCGCCTCAGGCCGCTCCCTCCTAAGCCCTGGCCTGGCCCACTGCTAGTGGCGTTGACCAAGGCCCTGCCTGAACTCCTGCATGCTGGCTGGACTTCTGCCCACCCTCCTCCGTCCTGAGCTGGGCCTGAAAGGCAGGCAGGGCAGGAGGGAGCAGGAAGGCCAGCCAGCAGCCCAGCTCAGCTAGCCTGGCTGGAGCAGGGCCGGTGGAAGGGGCCCCGGGGTCAGGCACAGTACTGAAGGAGCAGGTGCCTGGCAGACCCAGGCAGCGGGGAGCAAAGCCAAGGAGGCCCTGCCCTCGGGGGTGGGGTCACCCCCCTTCCCGTGGAAGAGACCCATATAGAGTGTATCCTGAGTTCAGTGAAGACAGGTCAGGGGCAGCTGCCCTCCCAGCCTCCACGGACCAGGCGGACCACGGTGCTCCTAGCTGTGCGGACCACCTCCTCAGCCTGACCACCACTTGGCGGACTGTGGCTAAACTGTGGGGCTGGGGTGCGGGTGAGGACTACCGGAGGCAATGACCCCCAGCCTTCCTGGTGGAGCGGACGGCAGGCACTTCCGGACAGACGAGGTGAGCACGCCCGGCCCCAGGCCTCACCCCCAGCTGGTGACGGCTCGCAAGGCCGGTCGCTCCCGTAAAGTGCTTTGCCCCAGGTCGCTCAAGCGCCACGGCGAGGAGCCGGCTGCGATCCGAGTGGGGTGGTCGGCCTTCCCCGGGCCGGCGCCTGCGGCGTGCGTGCGCAGGAACAGCGGTGACTACGAGCCTGGCCCCCGCCCGACAGCATGTTGACCACTGCAGCCTTTACCGAGCGCCGCGGTGTGTGCCGGCTTTGGCCACATCGGTCCTGGCCGCCAAGCTCCGAGGCCACACCCAGTGCAGGCGCGGCCACGACGTCCTGGGGCCTCTCGGTCCACACCAGACTGACAGCAGCCCCCACGCACTGACCCTCGGCTCGGAGACCACGTGAACCGGCCTGTGGGGCTGGGTATCGAGGGCGGGGCCTCAGGGCGGGGCTTACGCCGGGCGTGGTCTCGATAGGCGGGCCCCAGGGCGGGCGGGGCCTTGGGGATCGAGAACGCATCCACGGGACAGGTCCGCGAGGCCTGGGGGCGGGGCCTACGGACGGAGGGGCTGTCGCTGCGCGGAGACGGGCGGGAAGTCTGGGGCGAGGCTACAAGGTGTGTGTGGGCGGGGCCTCGTGAAATGGCACGGCTATCATTGGGCAGATAGTTGGCCGCGGGGTGTGGCTATAGATGGGTTCTCCAATGGACGCGGCCAGAGGCGGGGCCGGCGCCGAGCCGGGCCTGCATAAAATGGCGCGACTGCCCAGTCGTCCTCGCCTGTTTCGCGCGCGCGCGCTCAGCATGGTCACGGGGCCCCACGCTGCCAACGGTCTCCTGCTGCTTCTGCCGTTGCTGCAGGTGAGTCACCGGGCGCTCGGCGCGGGCACGGCAGGGCGGCTCTGCGCTCTGGACACCTCACCCCCGGCTCACCTTCTCCCCACAGGTGGCGCTGGGCTTCGCGGACGGCGGCTGCGACCCCTCGGACCAGTAAGTGGCGGGGGTAGGGATCCGGGGCCGACCCCGCCCTGTGGGAGGCTAGAGCGGGGCAGCGTTCCAGGCGGTATCCCGCCTGCTCCAGGTGCCGCCGTCCCCGCAGGTGCCCGTCGCAGGCCCGCTGGAGCAGCCTGTGGCACGTGGGGTAAGTGGAGGCCGCCAGGCGAGGCCGGTCCAGCGGTTCTCCCTGGCGTCCAGGCCAGCAGACCCCCACCCGCCTGGCTTCAGCCGAGCTGCCGGCACGATCTCTTCCCAGGCTCTTGTGAGAGGGGGCTGTGAAGCCTGGAAGGGCCACCCAAGCTTCCTGCCACCACCACCACCCACCCACCCACCCATCAGCCACCCCCATGGCCCCAGGGCAACTTCCCACGTAGGCCTTGTGCCAGCCCAGGACAGCCCAAGGAACCCAGGCCCTTTGTGGAACGCACTTTCATAGCGTGCCTGCCTACCTTCCTTGTCCCTGCAGGAGGCCCCTGTGAACATGGTCATTGGCCTGGGCACAGGATTGTGCAGAGGGCCCGGGACAGTGCGTCCTGGGAGTGAGCCCAAGGCCACTTGTGGCCTGCCATAGAGGGACAGCCAGGGAGCCCAGCAGCAGGCGTCCGGGACCGGCTGGCTCCTCTGGCCAGGAAGGACGTCCACGTCCTGGAAAGACATTCTCTGGCTTTCTTTCCTCCCGTCCATTGTCCTGTCTGGGAGGTTGGCTGTGACTGCCTCCGGGGTACAGGTGGCAGTGGTAGGGCCTTGCTCCCCCCTGTCCAGGCTTATCTTGCTCACTGTCCTCCTACTGCTGCTGTGTGGGGTCACGGCCAGCTGTGTCCGGTTCTGCTGCCTTCAGAAGCGGGCACACACACAGCTGCACCTGCCTCCTGCCCCTCAGCCTTGCGACCTGACTGTCAGCCCTGTGGACAGCGACAGCCCTGTACACAGCACTGTGACTTGTGAGTCCTGTAGACCTCACCCACTGGCCCGCTGCAGGGAGGGGGCTGGCAAGGGACAGACCTATTCCTACAAACCCACTCTGGTTTCCTGTAGCCTACAGTTCCGTGCAGTACCCACTGGGCATGCGGCTGCCCCTGCCCTTTGGGGAGCTGGACCTCGACTCCATGACCCCTCCTGCCTACAGCCTATTTGCCCCTGAGCTGCCACCCTCCTATGATGAAGCCATCAAGATGACCAAACCCAGACAGGAGGAGCCGCCCTCCTCCCTGTAGCGCAGCCCCCTCCTGGGCCTCAAGCCAAGCAACACCTCCAGGGCCCCAGGAGGTAGATTCCAATGCCTGACACCTGGCTTAGCCCTGGTGCCCCTCAAATATGGGGGAAATCTCTCCTGAACCTCCCCATGCTGCCGGGCACCCTGTGCTCAGAGGAAACTGGTACACAGACACGTGGAGCTTAGGACCCTCAGCCCACCTCACCATCCTTCCCTCGGGAAGGCCAGCCATCCAGCACATTGCTGCAGCACTGGCCTCGTTGCTATGGAACGCCGGCCAGCCAAGCTGGCTGGCCCTGTGTTGGCCACACACATAGGTGTGCGTGCACACATACACCCAGGCTGCTGCATTCAGCCCTGGTCCTAGGCCCAGCCCCAGCAGGCCCTGGGCCCAGAAGAGGCCCCAAAGGCCTCAGCCTCAGGGCTCAAGGCTGGCTGTGACATCCACAGCTTGTTGGAGAAAGAATAAAGTTTGTATCTAAGTGATTTCTGCCTGTAGGAAAGGGCTTGGGGCCACCACTGCCCAGTGCTGGCAGGCAGGGCAAGTGGTGGTACTCCACATGTGCCCAGCCTGGCCTTCAGGCTGCTGTCTAGGCCCAACTTGGGGCAGTGGGCAGTGTCTGGTGTCACAGCAGTGACTCGCTGTGTGCCTTGGCTGTCCAGGAAAACCCTTTCCGTTCTCCAGATCCACGGTTTTGCCAGCCCCTCCTTTCCAGGCTGGGGACAGTGAGGTACACACGTCTGGCTGAACGTGTATTAGCTGCAGAGCTGGGGTGCAGTGGGGAGGGATAGGCGGCAGGGTGGGTACTGGGTGGGTAGAAGCCCTCCTCAGGCAGGCCTCCTGCAGCCACAGTACCAGCTCCTACTGGACCAGCTTGAAGGACTCTCCGGTCATCATGGCCACAAACTCTGGGAGGGGAGCAGAGGGACAGGTCAGCAGCCCAGCTTGGGCAGACCATGGGCTCCCAGAGCCTGTGCCCCGCTTGCCCTCAGAGCCAATGGTCCCATCCCCATCTTCGTCAGCACCTCGTTGGGAGCTCACCTGCATGCATGAGCACATACCTGCAGCCCCGGAACAGAGAGACACCTGGCTCAGCCCTGGTGCCCCTCAAAGATGGGAAAGTCTCTCCTGAACCTCCCCATGCTCAGAGGGGACTGGTACACCGACAGCCCTCCAACCCTGCCTGGACCCCTTGGCCCTCCCCCTCTGGAGTGCCCCTGACTCCCAGCCCCCACCCTGCCCTACTTGAGTGTGTCCCAGTTGATGGAGCCCTTGCCCTCCTTGTCGAAGACACAGAAAGTCACCCTTCTGGTTCAGGGCCTTCTCCCAGTAAGGCCCCACCAGGGCCAGGAAGCTGTCACAGTTGAAGAACCCTTTGACTGCAGGAGCAAGTGGCAGGCAGGGCTGCGTGAGGGGCCCAAGTACAGCACCCAGTGCTGCTGCTGCCCGCCAGCCTGCTGCCTCTGTCCCCGTCCTGGGCCATGGAGGCCAGCTTGCTTTTGGCGGAGTTGACGCCCAGCAGGCTCATGAGCCACTCCAGCTCGCCTGTCTTCACCCCCAGTTGTCCTCTTCGAACATCTCGAAGACCCCCTTGTACTCCTTGATTCGCTTGGCCATCAGGCACTCCGTCCGCAGGGTAGTGCATGCAGCTCCACTTCACCAGGGACCGCTCGGCCCCTCAGCCCAGGGAGGTGGGAGGCCCCAGGGCACACAGCACAGACCCCCCTCCCCACCCATCCTCACGGCAACCCTTCAGGGTTAAAAGCAGGCCCCAGCCCAGAGCAGGTTCTAGACTGGTGGCACCGTGATGGTCTGTGGGCAGGCAGGACCCTGCCAGGCAGCTTTAAGGGGAAGGGCATACGAGGAGGGGGCCAGGTATGGTCCCCCAGAGATGCCAGGGGCCCAGGAGCCAGGGCACACACCAGGCATCTGAGGGAGCAGTGGGGGCTTCAGTCCCCGGGCCTGAGGCCATGGACACCTGGTGAGCCCAGGTGAGGAACACCATGGACTAACGTGGGGAGGAGTGTGGCCTGGGCCAGGCTGCAGGCTCCAAAGACCACATGCAGAAAAGGCGTGGGGACAGCCTCGGGGCACCCCAGGAGGGTAGTCCAGCACCTGGCCCCCAGAGTGAGGGTGGAGGGGGGGCCGCGGGTCTCAGCCTTGGCTCGCCTTCTGCACTCTCCCAGCTGCCCTGACCTGCTTCCTCAGTTTCCCAGAGAGGCACCCACATTTGAGGCTTGGCCCCATCCCACCCCTGTGCTGGAGGCCCCGCCTGGACTTCTGTCCCTGGCGCACATCCCCCAGCTGCCTGCCACCCAGCCAGTCCCCTGGCACCCTGCAGAGCACCAGGCAACCTTCTGTGTCCACGGCTGGCTGAGAGGCCCTGCAGCATGGCACTGGCAGCTGCTCTGCACATGGCATGAGGGCCAGTGGTGGCAGCTGTCTTTGAGCTGGGCTTGGTGGCCTGGGGTCCCCAGGGTCTGGTTCCAAGAGCCTTGTATGGTTGCGGGATCCTGTGGCCCTATTTTGGAACAGGCTTGGTCCTTCCCCACGAGGCCCCTTTCTGGCCTTCCTCAGGCTAAGCAAACTGCCAACCTGAAGGTCATTGGACCCTGAGTCCCAAGCCAAGGCCCCCATCCCAGCCTCAGCCCTCCCAGAGCCAAAGCCAGGGTGGACATCACAGGCTGAAGGGGTGGACTGGTGGCCCAGGGGAGGCCCAGAGCCCTGGCACATGCTGGTTACCCACCACAGCACCTGCCTCCAAAGCCTCTCCCCTACGGGGCCACCCTCCCGTCTGCTCTGGGACCCTCACTCAGGCTGCCATCACTTATTTGTGAGGGTCCCTGTGAATGCTGTGGCCTCATGACCCCTTGCGTGCCTGTGGGCCCAGTGCTTCGAGGCCACTCTCTAAAGACAGGATGAATGGGTGAATGCATTTGGGACCCCATCTGACCACCCTGTGCAGATGGGACTCACTGTCACAGGGAGGAAATGACTCGGCCAGGGGTGAGCAGGGCAGGACAGACAGGGCCACGAGGAGGCCAGGCCAGGTTTCCTCTGTGCAGTCAGAGGCTATTCTGGGGCTTCTCGGGGGAATCTGACCTCTCAGAACAACAAAGCTGGCTCCCAGGGGAGCTGCGTGGCCAGGCTATTGAGTGACAAGATGCCACAGCAGCCATGTGTGCTCGGGCCTCAGACACTGGCACACACCCCCACCCCCACCCCGTGCTCCCAACACCTCAGCCCAGGGCCTCCTTGCTCCCATGCAGGCAGCGAACACAAGGGCCACTTGCCTGGCCTCAGTGGTGGGTGCTACAGCCCAGGGCCTCCTGGGCTGAGGGGCTCCCTCCCAGGGATAGTCACGGACAGGCCCCAACTAGTTCCCCTCAATCCTGTGCATGGCCCCCAAAGCCACACACACCGGCCCCGGCCCCGGCCCCGTGATGCCTGGCCAGTCTGAGCAGGGGAGGTGTGCCGCGCCCCCAGGCCAGCCTGTCCCTAGGCTGCCAGACTGCCCGAGGCCTTGTGCTGAGAACGCAGAATTTGTGCCCCTGGGGCCAGACGGAGCTAGCAGACGCCAGGCCAGCGGGTTGAGTGCGGCCGGAGAAGCCAGCTCCGGGTTGGAGGTGCTCCCCTCCCTGAGTCCTGGGGGGTCTCCAGCACTGGCTTCCAGCTTTGCAATGGGGCTCAGGGCTCCCCACCCGCTCTCCTTTGAAATCGCAAACGGGAGCAGGAACGGGAAGGAGACCTTCTCCAACGAGCCAGTCGCATCTCTAAGCCCAAAGTGCGGCATGTGACCAGAGAGCCTGGGCAGGCCTGGAGCCTGGAGAGGGGCCTGGGGCTGATTTCACGCCACCCCAGCTAGGTGGTGGCGCCCAGGCTTTTGCTCAGATGCTGGTCTGGATATGGCTGTGAAGGGTTTTTTTTTCATGTATTTACTGATTACAGTGGTAAAATTAGCATAAAATATTACTCAGAGGAGGGAATTAACATTTATCTGTTAGGTACCACAGTCTTTTTTATTTGTGGTAAAACACAAAATTTGCCGTTTTGACCATTTTTAAGGGTGCCATCTGGTAGCATTCGCTGTGTGCATCTCATTGAGCAGCCCCCTCCAGAACTGCCGTCCTCCCAAACTGAACCTCTGTCCCCATTAAACACCCCCCTTCCCTAGCCGCTGCCCTTCTCTCTGTTGCTACGGATGTGACCCCTTTGGGGACCTCGTAGTAAGTGGAATCAGTGTTTGTCCTCTTGTGCCTAGTTTATTTCTCAGGTCCATCCACACCATAGCAGGTGGCAGAATGTCCTTCCTTTTAAAGGCTGAATAATATTTCATTGGATAGATATTCCACATTTGGCTCATCCATCATCTGTCCATGACACTCAGGTTGCTTTCACTTCCTGGCTGTTGTGAGTAACGCTGCTGTGGGCGTGGGAGTCCATGAAGGTGGTTTTTAGGTGTGATTAACATTTAAATCAGTAGACTGTAGAGTGGATTGTCCCCATAATGCGGGTGGGTCTCACTCCACCAGTTGAAGGCATTAAGAGAAAAGCCTGAGGTCCCCAGGAAGAGCGAGTTCCCCAAGCCACCACCGGGTTCCAGCTGCGGTGCCACCGCCTCCAGGGCCGCCATCACCCAAACGCGGGAGGCGGCAGTTCCCTAAAGCAGACCAACCCCCTCCCCTCACCCCCTCCCTCTGCCTCGCCTCTCGCCGTTCCTCTGTAGGGCCCTGGGTCACCCACCACACCGCGGGGCACACTCACCTGGCCATGACGGCGTGTGCCCCAAAGAAGGCCGCTGAGCTCGCAGACTGAGAATCCAGGCAGGGTGCCCCCACCCCTCCCTACCAGTGCCAGGCTCTCACAGGTGCCCCCCCCTAGTGACCCCTTCCTGGGGAACAGAGGAGACCCACAGTGCCCCTGGGGTCCCCAGTGAGAAGATGCCATGAGGTCCCCTCTCTAGGGTGGCCTTGAGTGCAGACCCGACCTGTCTGGCCGCTGTGGCCCCCAGTGGGACCTCTGAAGGGTCACTCCAGTCCCCGTGGCTGGCCTGACTTCCTGCAGCCCCTGGGGCTTCTCCTCTGCGCGCCCTGCCCCCCACCCCCGTCTCAGGGGTGACTCCATGCACATCTCCCCAGACTCCACCATAGGGCAGCTTCCATAGGACCCAGGCCTCACCAGGAAGGGGCATTGACGATGGGCCCCTGGCTGCCCGGCTGCAACAAGGAGCCCTCCAGTGGCTCGTCTGCCAGGAGGGCCTCCATGCTGGCCCGGGTAGGTGGGGCCAGAGAGGCCAGGTGGCTGCTGCCCTGGGCGTGATGCGCTCCTTCCTGATGCCAAGATGGAGGCAGGGCCAGAAGTGGGCACTTGAGGCCAGGGGTGAGCAGTGAGTGTGGGTGTTGGGGTGACGGCGTGCCCAGCCTGGGCCTTGGTCTCTACAGGACTGCCCCAACCCTGCACCCAGGGCAGAGAATGAGCAGGGATATCTGGGTGGTGCCACACCCTGCGGTTTTGACGACCAGACTCCTCTATACCTTCTGCAAGCTTTGCTCACCTCTCCTGTGAAGAGGCCCTGCGCCTCCCACAGGGAACAGGTGTGGAGGCCTCGCCCCCACTCCAGGCAATATTTGTACCCCCCAGGACCCACAGTCTTCCCTGGTGGCCACTAGCCGACAGGCAGCATCATAGTGCACTGGAGACGAGGTGGGGCCCACCCGTGGGAGCTGGGAGAGCACAGCAGCCCAGAGGCTCTGTGGAGGGGCTGGAGCAGGAGCCGGAGGCAGGGCGCCCCCCACAGGGCCGCCGCTCTGAGGCTCCCCGGCCAGCGTGGGGCAGCGCCCACAGCCAGGCGCACAGCCCATAGGCGACAGCCCTGCACCTGTGACGGTCTCCCACGTCCCCAGTGGACTGAGGGCTGTCACCCTGTGCCACTGCCTGCTGTCTCAAGTCCTGTCTTGAGTCTTTGTCTGGGGGTCTGCTTGGGGCAGGGGGAGCTCAGTCTGAACAAGCAGTGTAAAGACAAAGAAGCCCAAATCGTGGACTGCCCCCCATGGGAGATGGCAGGCGTGCAAGTGTAAGACCCCACCCAGTACCATTCAGGACACGGCCAGAGCCAGCAAGCGAGACTAAAATGTGATGTGAAATTTCTAAGGAAACCACTAAAATAATAGAAATAGATATAATTTCCACATCTGTGGAGGAAAAAAGAATAAAGAAAATGTAATGAGCCTAATAAATACAGAAAAGGAGACAAAGCATGTGTAAGCAGAAGGTAATAACATCAAAGCAAACCCAGCCACCTGACGGGGGGCCAGAGCTGGAAAGTGTGAGCAACAAAATAAATCAAGTAGGGCTGGAACATGACCAAAGTATGAAATAAATGTTCATCATACATGAAAGCACGCCATCAACAGAGTGCAAAGGTGACCCACAGGATGGAAAAAAATATTTGCAAATCATATAACTGATAAGGGATTAATATCCACAATATGTAAAGAATTCCTGTAACTCAACAACATCAAAGATAACCCGATTAAAAAATGGACAAAGAACTTAGACAAAGAAGACACACATGGCCAATAAACACATGACAAGATGCCCGGTATTATTAATTAGGAAAATTCAACCAAACCACAATGAGATATCATCACCTACCCACTAAGACAGCTGCTGCGAAGAAACAGCAGGGAGTGTTAGGGAGCATGTGGAGAGCTTGGAGCCACTGTGCGCTGCCGGTAGGAATGCAAAGCGGTTCGGCTCCTGTGGAAGACAGCATGACGGTCCTCAAAAAAGTAGGCATGGAGTTACCATAGGATCCAGCAGTTCCAATTCTGGGTATGTAGCCGAAAGAAGTGAAAGCAGGGACCCAAACATACGTGTAGGCCCATGTTTGTAACAGTGTTACAATAGTAAAAGCTATACAACAACTCAAAAGTCCATTGATGGACTGATAGATAAACAAATGGTACATACATATGTGATAGTTAATATGCATCAGCTTGACTGGGCTCAGGGCACCCAGATCCCAGATGGCTGGTAAAACATTCCTGGGTGTGTCTGTGAGGCGGTCCCCAGAAGAGACTGGCATTTGGATCTGTAGGCTGAGTGGAGAAGGCCACCCTCACCAACGGGAGTGAGTGTCCTGCAATTGGGGCCAACAGCAGCAAACAGAGGAAGCGCAGGTTTGTTCTCCACCTGAGCTGGGACGTCCATCCTGTCCTGCCCTCGGACTCAGGGCTCCCACCTCTCAGGCCTTCAGACTCAGGCTGAGCCACACCGCCTGGACCTCCAGCTTGCAGACAGCAGACCGTGGGACTTCTCAGCCTCCACAACCACGTGCCCATGAGTCAGCTGCTACAATCTCATTGTGTGTGTGTGTGGTTCTGGTTGTTTCTCTGCGGAACCCTAATACAATATACAATGGAATATATTATCCAGCCCTAAAAAGGAAGGAAATTTTGTCACATGCTACAACATGGATGAAACTTGCAGTAAGTATGCTAACTGAAAGAAGCCAGTCACAAAAGAACCAATCCTGCGTGATTCCTCAGGTACCAGAATTGTCGAATCCATAGAGACAAAGCAGAAGATGGGCTGGTGGCCGGGGAGGGTGGACAGGGAGTTGCTGTTTCATGGGGTCAAGGTGCAGTTTGGGAAGATGAGAACATTCTGGAGGTGGGTGGTGAGGACAGTTGCACAGCTGTGTGAATGTACTTAATGCCACGTAACTGTACACTTGAAATCGTTAAAATGGTAGATTTTATGTTAGATTTATTTTACCACCACAAAAAATAAATACCCATGAGTCTAGATTGATATATGTGACTGAATCAATAAATAAATGGGGAGAAGAGTCAAATCTCCCATACAGAAGAATTCCACATAACTTATATAGATATTTGACCCTCAAAGTGGGGAGCACCACCCCCGTGCCTTCACTGTGGGCCCCAAATAGTAACATCCTTCTAAAAAGCAGAATGTGGAAAAGGGGGAAGAAAGAGCACTGAGCTGGGGGGGGGGTCAAGGCCGACATCCCCGCGATGAGTCACAGCGACAGCGGCGGCCCCTGTGATGGGAAGGACGCTGCACCTCTGGGGTCCTCCCCCAAACCCACAACCGCAGTCTGACCATGAGAAAAACACCAGAGCTGGAAAGCTCCACAATGCACACACCTGAACAGCACCCCTCAAAGCTGCCAGGGCGGAACAAACGGGGGACAGCAGAGAAACCGCCACAGCAGCGACCGCCAGCAACGCGGGGTCCTGGTATAGAAACGGCACGTTAGTGAAAAACTGAGGGGATCTGAATGGGCTTTACCTAGTAATGTGTGTCAATATCGGTTGTTAATAGTGACAAACATCGCGCTAATTTAAAATGCTCATAGAGGAAACCGAGGGTGGAGCGCATGGGAAGCCTCTGCACTCTCGATTTTCCTGTAAACCTACCACTACTGTAAAAGTAACGCTTGTTTTTAGAAAAGAAACCCAAATACACCGATAATCAAACGAATACCCTTTCAAACAGCCGCCACTTCACTGGGAGGTTGTCAGACTGAATGAAAACAAAGTCCAGAGGCTTATAATAGTGAAACTCCCCGCCAGAGGACACGAATGTCCACTTACTGAGGCCCCTTTCAATGGCCAGGAATAGAGTACTTTCATGCAGTTCGCGTAAGTCTGCAGTTTTTCTTGGACAAGCACACGCCCCGCCCCCAGCACACGCCCCGCCCCCACCAGCACACGCCCCGCCCCACCAGGAAGCGGCTCGAAGGGCAGCAGGCGGCGCTCGCGGGCGGCCGGACGGGGACGCGGCCCAGCGTCTCGGGTCGAAGCCGGACGGAGTCGCGCCTAGGCCGCTGTCCCTCCCCGGGAGCCTCCGCGGGGTCCCGCGAGGACACCATAGACCTGGGCGCCCCTTCCGTTCCCCCGGGGGGCGCGAGTAGGGCGGGGCGCCGGCTGCGGGAGGGAGGCGCCCGCCGAGAAGCGCCCCGTCCGCAACAGGCCCCGACGCCCTCGGCTGTGTGGCTGGTGCCCCTGCTCCCCCGGGGCTCGGACCGCGGTGCCCTGGGGGTTCCTGCTCCTCAGTCTGGCTTGAAAGTGACAACAGCAGGGCTATTTTAGTTCAAAAGCCAAAGCAGGTTTTAACCGCCTCAAGAGCCTCTTCACACCCCCGACAGCCCCCCTGGTTCAAAGGGGCCCCGTGGGCCAGGTGCCCCAGGCTCCGTCCTGCTCAGAGGGGAGACTGAGGCTGGAGGGGGTGAAGCCCCTTCCCAAGGGGGCTGGCCTCGTGGGTGGCACCCCAGCTGGGAGGGTGCGGGTCCGGGATGGCAGGGCCCTGGCTTCAGGGGTACCACACGGGGTACCCAATCAGAACTGACCCACGGCCCCTCACCCTGCACCCTCTCGGGGGTTTTCCTACCCATACGCTCTCTCAGAAGTCTGGGCACCTCAGTGTCCTCCTAAGGCCTGACCCTGAGGCCACCAGGGCTGCTGGAGGGGCAGGACAGACAAGCCCTTAGGCGTCTGATCCAGCAGGTTGAGCCACCTCCTGCCCAGGGGACCCCAGGGCAGGCCTGGGTACCAGTCCTGGGCAGATGCTGTGGGGAATGCAGCAGGGCCCAGACAGACGTCACAGTGAGAGCCCCAGGGCCCCTGGCTCCAGGCAGCAGCCCCATGGGCCTGGCTGCACCTGCGGATTTCCAAAACACCCACTCCTGCAAGCTGGGCCTCCCCAGGAGGGGCAGCCCGGGGACCTGCCGGTGCTCCTGGCTCCA